CCCACACACCTGCCCGCCCCCCACTTCACCCACTTCACCCACACCCCCTGTCCCACAGGCAGCCCACCTGCAGGGCGGCTACACCCAGTTCTGCGGCTACTTCCGAGTCGACCCCGCCACCATGCGCATAGGCACGCAGCGCGCCCCCGACCGCGTGCGGCCCGGCCTGCAGCGGTGGCGCGACGCCGGGCTCGCGGTGTCGGCGGTACCGATGCCCTATGACCCGTCTGACGACGCTGATGGCCCGGCGGCGCAGGCGGCGCGGATGGAGGCGATGCAGCGGCTGCAGCGAGGGGAGGCGCCGGCGCCGCGGCGCCAACAGTAGCAGCAGCCGCAGCAGCAACAGCAGGAACAGCACCCACCGCCGCCATCGGCGCAGATGGGACGCAAGCTGCTCCTGCGGGGCGCGTGAGGGCGGGGCGGCCTGCCGCAACCCTGCTTATGTTGCCCAACTGTGCGTCTGCAGCACGCCCCTTTCCCCCAGCCTAATGCAGCTCCTGAATGCGGCTGCGATTGTGCTCAGTTGCTCGATCCAAGGGCCTGAAACGTGCGCAACAGGCGAGGGTGCCTCCCAACTCGAGCGACGCGCCGCTGCCATCAAAGCCCTTCACTAAGGGGTGCGGGACCCATGGCAGCGCACCGCAGCGATGCGCAGGGCTCGACATGCCCACCTGAGGGCGGTTGAGCGCCACGCGCCAAGCATGCGTCTTTGTGTGCTGTCGACTCGCACGCACGGTCGCCACCTGACCCTGCCAGTTGGTGATGCGCACCTGAGCTCCGGCGCAGCTTCCCGCCCGCTTCCAGTCAGGAGGCTGCACCGGGCGGCCGGCCTGCCGTTGTCGTCGTGGCAGCGCTCGCAGGCGGCTTTAAAGCCTGCTCTGACCCTGGCCCCCCTGAGTTGGTTTGGTTGGATGACCTGTTGTTTGCTGAATCCTCAAGCCTCTCTGCACAGGAGCCCTAGCATCCCATTACCCACCCGTGCGCAGATCCATGCAGCCCGGCAACTGCCCCTTACTAGCCACCTGCTGGTGCCTCTGCCATGGGTCAGCCGCCGCAACCCCCTTGCGGCCGGCGCCACCCACCCACCCCCTCCAAGCTCGCCCTCATCATATCTGCACGCATCCATTGACCCCTGCCCGGCTTCCCCCACCCCGGAAGTTACCACAGCTCTCTATCTCTCCGATTGTCTGTGCCACCCGCAAGCCGCCTACCCGCCTCTTGTCAGTGCCCGCCAGCGCCCCGCCGTCACCTGGCGGCCCCCTTCTTGGTGTTGTTGTTGCGCCTGCAGTGGCCCTGCACAGCAGTGCTGCTGCTGCAGCTGCTGCTGTGCATTTGTGTGCATGTGTGTGTGTGGGAGGGTGGACCGTCGTTCACGGGGCTTGCGTACGCCCTCATCGTTTTTCTTGCTCCTTCGGAAGGGCAATGATGGAGGGCTTTTCAATAGCCCAACCCCCCCACCAACCGCCTGATCTCATCTTAGCCTGGACAACACATTTGCCCAGGGCGCGGCGTGCGTGCAGAGGTCTTGCCTGCTGCGTGCGCGCCAAGGGAGCAAGGGAGCCTGCGTCTCGCTCCAGCCCAGTCATGTTGTGTTGCCGCCGCGTCTCCATTTATACGATTGCCCCGGGCTCCTCGCCCTCTCACCGGGCCCTGCACACCTGCGAGCCCCCTCACACCCCTCTCACCCAAGATTCATAGCGGCCCAACCGCCCCCCATTCTTCGGCCGCCCAGCGGCCACTGTCTGCTCATTCTTCGGGCGGTTGGCGCCGCAAGGGGGCTGCTCTCTCTCCCTGGCTGTGTGTTGTGTAGCTTTGTCATTTTATCCCGCAAAAAGTGCCACAGATTTGTTGACGGCATGCGCTTTTCTGTCATCAGACTACCAATTGCATCGCGTCTGCTCATGTGCTTGCTCCTCTGTCCAACCGCTGCCGGAGAATCCAATTTGTTGGTGGGGCAAGCGGCCTGCGTCGGCGCGGCAGCGACCCTGCACATAATAAGGAAACTGCCGCCTGTTGGGTCAACCTCTTTGGGGCTCATCAGGGATGCTGCCTTGACGGCCGGGATGGGGTAACAACAAGCTGGGGGTGCAGCCCTGATCGAATCAGTTTGCGGGACGCATGCCAACAACATACATGAACAAGGCAGCAGCCGCTGCTTCACGCGCGTCCATCGTCGCCGCCGCTGCCGTCGCTGCGGCTGCGCCGCAGCTTCTCAACGCCCGCCAGCCTCATCTTGGAATAGCCCTCCAGCACGATCCGCGCAAACCCCAAGGGCACCCCCGCCGCCGCCGCGGCCGCCGCCTCTGCGTCGTCGCCGGCGCCGCCCGCCGGGTCCCGCTCGAGCCGCCGCCGGCCCTCTGGCGGCAGCGCCCGCAACACGCGCAGAGCGCCGGCCCAGTTGTACGCGTCGGCGCGCGCGCGTGCCGCGCGCGACGCCTTGTGCGCGCGGCCCAGGGCGGGCGCGGCGGCGGAGGTCAGGGCCAGCATCGCCTCCAGTTTCGCCTCGTAACCACTCAAGCTCATCCGCGCCAGCCTCTCATACGAAACCTGCGCCTTTGCCGCCAGCCTGGCGTCTCCGGCCTCGTCAGCCGCACCCTTCCCCTCAGACAGCCGTCCGACCGCCCGCCGCACCCAGCCGCCCGACGCGCCGCTATCGTCCCCCCCGCCGACGCCGCCGCCGCCGCCACCGGGGCCGCCCCCGTCGCGGCCGCCCTCCAGCTGCCGCCGCGCCTCTAGCAGCGAGCGGGTCTTGAGGCGCCGAAAGAAGCGCAGCGTGGCGAGCGCCGCGCCGGGCGGCACGTCCGCCACTGCGGCGACCTCCCGCAGCTCTGCTGCTGTCATCGCAAAGGGCCGGCGCGCCTCGCGCGCCGGCAGCGCGGAAAACACTGCCCGCGCCGCATCCAGCGCCTCGAGCCGCGCCTGCGCGACCGCCTCGCCCGCGGCCCCGCCTTCCTCCCGCCCGTCCTCCTCCCGCGCGCCAAACCAGCCGCGGGCGCCGGCGCCGCCGCCCCCCGCGCGGCCGCGCCGGCCGGCGGGCTTCCACGGCGACTTGCGCCCCTCCAGCTGCCGCTCGACCTCGGATATCATGTTTGTGTTGTACTCGACGAACCCCGCGACATCCATGTCAAAAAACGGGTCGAGCGACGACCCCGACCGATCGACTTCCGCCTGCAGCAGCTCGCCCGCGTCCTCTGGGAGCAGCGCGCCGCGCTGCACGGCGGCGGCGATCGCGCGGCGCTGCCGCCGCTGCTGCAGAAGCAGCTCCGCGCAGCTGGCAGGCGCGGCGGGGCGGGTTGCGACGCGGGGCGGGTTGCGACGCGGGGCGGGTTGCGACGCGGGGCGGGTTGGTTGTGATGCAGGGGTGGGGGCGCCCCGCGGCGGCGCCGGCGGTGCTTGTTGAGTGCGCGCCGCGTTCGGCCGGCCGGCTCGCAGGCGGCCGCCGCCGACGCGGCATGGAATGCGCGTCGACCTGTGCGCGCCCGGCCGCGTGCGCTCACCGCTTGAACACGAAGTAATCGAACACGGCCGCCTCCAC